GTCCAACCCCGGGGGGGGTCCAACCCCCTTAAAAGTACTTTTCACAGTGGGGTCCAACCCCGGGGGTCACACCCCTTAAAAGTACTTTTCCTCTTGCCCAGGACTAATTTTGGGAGACCCAGTCTTCCTCGGGACTTTCAACCCACCCTCAGGGACTGGAACCCTGGACCTGCAGGTATTTTGTGTTTAAAAGGAATAGCAAATACCTTAATTTGGTGCAGATGGTCCTTGTCTGCCCCCACCGTGAGCCAAGGGACAGCTGAGCTCCCCCTGAAAATTCAGGGTCGCGACTGGGAGGTCTGCTTACCCCTAGATCCGGCAGCCGGGCAGAGAGGGTCCCATCTCGGGGAGCCAGATGAATCGTGCCGCAACCGGGCCAGGAGACACTTCAGAGACAGAGTCAGAGAAGCGGGTATTTGCTTTATTCGGCGCGCCGGGTGTGTGGGGATCGCTCCTCCAAACACACACACACCTGGTGCTCTCTACAACACAGTATTAAGGGTTAAATGATGAATATTCATCACATTCCTTGGGACAGGTGTGGTTACAGAAATTATTTCTCGGAAGTCATTAGCATATGGGCCACGCATGCGCTGTGTGTCCTGGTGGTCGCGCTGAGGAAGGCCTCTCCTCTTCCTCGGGGGTCTTTCTGATGAAGGCCAGTAGTCATCCTCGCAGTGAACTTGTCACCTTTCTTTCTCCCTGGGTATGCGTAGTCCTTTGAGGGATGATTCAGCAATCTCTGAGATGATCCTTGTCCCCTCTGTCTTGACAAGATTAGGCTGAATTCGGCTTCTCAGGCTTTGTAATTAACATCTTCTGTCTGAACACACATTTGCTGTCTCCCAATAGTTAACTTGTGCTTACATGAGTTAGTTATTGACTGCCCCTTCTTCAATCCCCCCTTTTCTTTGGTTATTTGTAATTCTTTACAAATCTTGTATGTCTTTAAAGTAAGAACCCTTCTCTATCTTATCTCTAAGTTTCTACTTGTTTATATTGAGCATGAGCATCGCAATTCCAAGTACATAATATCACACAACAGTAACTACTACTACAAACAATAAGTAAGAATGCAATAACACAAATAGCTATTACAAACAATTGTTTAAGCCAGGATAAGTTGGGTAACCATGATGTAAGTTTATCCCATACCTCTTTAAACCGCCAAGAAGTGTTGTCTAAAGTGATCTGATGTAGTGTCTGTGTTTTTTCCAGAATTGTCTGCAAATCTGTTTCTATTCGTTTGTCTAAATCAACCTAACTGCAACAGCTTGTATTTATTACTGTACATACTCCTCCTTCTTTGACATACAGCAAATCTAATGCAAGTCTATTCTGTATGGCTAATTGTGAGATGCTCTTAATCTCGATTTGCTGTGCTCTTATGGCATCTGCACTGGCATTCATGATGGTTTCTACAGTAGCAGAAAGGTTCACTATTGCTTTCTCTAGTTCACTTACTCCGAGTCCCGGTATAAACCATCTGGCAAAGCTGTGAAATCTAGTGGGCCTATCTGTTAAGGGGTTTGATGTCCTTTTGGTCCTCCGTATAAAGGTTCGGAGCAAGCCTTGTAGTTGAGAAACAACAGTAATGTGGGGAAATACTGGTCCTATGGCACAGCGGCCTTGCCATCCTAAGGGTAAAACTTTATAGGCGCTGTGACCGCATATCCAGTACCAAGCCCGCCCTGTGGGCACCGGCCAACCCTTGGGCTTTGGTCCTCGTCTTGTTTGATTCTTATTCCACATGTTGGCCCCCCCCAGAATTCTGAGCAGTTGGGGTAGCTGCCTATAAATGTTAAGTTCCCACATTTGGAGTCTGTCTTATTCCCCCCTGAGTTTTTAGGTACAGATTCTTCCCAGCACCTCTGCACACAGGACACTGGTAAGGACCCAAGTATTGGCTCTTCAAACTCCAACTTCCACTGAAGTTGATCTAGGGATATGTTGACATAATGTGAAAGCCTGTTAGTACTAAGTGCAGCATAGATTTCTGTTGTATTAGGGAATGTTGCCCCAACCAAAGGAAAGCCTCTAGCAGAATTCTCAGGCAGCTGAGAACATATCCAGCAATCAGTTAGATTAAAATTTTCAACAACACCTTTGAGCAATCGAAGGTATGTGTTCTGGTCCCATGCACCTGCCCCAATTATCAATGTTACCAGTATGGTGCAAATCATGTTGTGTTGATTTTTCGTAGCTGAAGGCGCAGAAGTCCTGTTCTTCTTGCCTCCCACTCTGGCTTTGGCGCAGGTTTGGTCCTGGTATAATGGATCCAGGTCGGTTTTCCTTGTACTTTAATTGCTGTATGAGTGGTCAGCAGCGTCTGATAAGGTCCTTCCCACTTCTCCTGGAGTGGATCCCCTGAAAGAGACTTAACATAAACCCAATCCCCTGGTTTCACATTATGAAAGGGTTTATCAGGTGGTGGCGGTTGACAATTAACAACTGTAGCGCGTATTGATTGTAATTTTTGACCTAAATGCTTTACATAATCTATTAGGTAGCTTTGCCCTACCAGAGCCACACTGTCATTGTGAATCACGGTTGTTCCATAGGGCCTTCCATACAGGATCTCAAAGGGGCTTCATTTTGCTTTGAGCCGTGGTTTCACCCTAATTCTTAGCAAAGCCATGGGGAGAGCCTGATACCAATATAAATTAGTTTCTTGACAAATTTTGGCTAATTGTTGCTTTATTAAGTGATTCATCTTCTCCACTTGTCCACTTGCCTGCCTTCCATACAGGATCTCAAAGGGGCTTCATTTTGCTTTGAGCCGTGGTTTCACCCTAATTCTTAGCAAAGCCATGGGGAGAGCCTGATACCAATATAAATTAGTTTCTTGACAAATTTTGGCTAATTGTTGCTTTATTAAGTGATTCATCTTCTCCACTTGTCCACTTGCCTGTGGCCTGTATG